TTATATAGAATTTATTAACAATTATATGTATTCTTTTAAACAATTAATAATAACATATATATTCTCTCTTTGGTCATTCTGGCATACTCTCACCTGCCTGTTTTATCTTGTGCTGAGATCTCCTAGTTTGAGTTCTGATAGCATGTGAGGTTATCTTTGACAACTTCCCTCGTGGCCAGAACTTGAACTAAATGTAATTAAAGCAATTCATTACTTCACACTCACATGAGAGTCGCTTCTCTGATTAAACCTAACTGTCTGTCAGCCAAATAATCTAATTAAACTGATACGAATCAACAGTCATTGGAGCAAAAATAGAGAACACCAGTTTATTCACCAATTTATGAGCTGAGATAATGAAAAGAGAAACAAAAGACACTATTGACAAACCAGACCACCAATGGGGTAGATCCACACTTTTTGGCATTAAGCACATCTATTTCAAGCTGTGGAACACAACACGCGTGTTGTGATGGTAGAGCACAGCTCTGTGAAATGGAAAACGGAAGAGTGCGGGAGCTGTAGAGATGAGGTCCCAAAGCAATTAGATGTGCAAATGGAGAGAGCCAGCCACAAATGTGCAGCCTGTGCCAAAATAAGTAATGCCCCAAAATATCAATACCTGCCAAAAAAAAAAAAAAAAAATTATTGAGACGCAAGAGCAACAAACTTCTAATGATAACTAAAAGCCGGAAAGTGCATGGGTCCACCTAATAATATTTGCTCACACGGGACCCCAGACCAATAAAAACAGTCTGAAATCAGTGGTCACCTGAAGTACAGACATAACTCTCTGCTTTACTGTAATTTTGTGGTGTGTTTGTCGTTCTGAACAAAATGACTGTGTAGAAAAAGCGAGTTAGCGCTAATTAAGCAGGCAGCAGTGCAAAGCCCCCAGGCTGAGCAACTACACATCAGTCATTTAACAGTCCACTCCACTATGTAGTGCTATTCTTCCTCACTGTTACTGAGATAATCTTTAGAATGGATCTTTAAAATGGGTTTCTCTTAATGAATCGGTCAAACTGAACCACAAATAAGACCTGAACCTGATTGGCTAATGTACCACAAGATAGACCCACACCCTTCTTAGTGATTACCATGAGCTATGATGTTGAAGATGGAGGGGACCTTAAAAAAATACATTGAAAATAAATGGAAAAAATACAACTAATTTTGAACAGCTGTAAATGAAGAATGATGCTTTTGCCCCTAGAATGGTGTAATTTTGGCAGGGAGTAACATGGGAAAAGCCCGAATAAAGTGCATTCATACTTGAAGAGAGGTTGGTGCTAGCGTCAGATCTATATATTGTGCAAGGATCACAAGGAAGGCAATTCAAAGACTATTTTTCACAACTTACAATACACAGTGTCTTGTAATCTTGTAATGTCATCTGTATGGTTCTATTGATGGAGTAATCCTGTGTTTGCATCTCTCTAGTATTTCCTCTTACAAGCGCGTCCTACTACTACAAGCGCGTATCAGTGTGTGGGGCTAAAGAGGCAGTGCTGTAGAAGCAGGCGTTGATCTTCTTCTGCGGAGGCGGTGCTTAGCCACACTATTACGTCATAAACTGGCACATTCCAAAATGAGTCGTTTTATGAGCTTGGTTTCAATAAAAGCTGTCTTTAAACTAATGAGAAAGTTTTGCAACTTACAGGATGTTTTTATAGTACATTGAACTGTTATGTCTAAAGATCAAGGGAAATGTGATTTCTCAGTTCATGGCCCCTTTAACTCTCACCAAACGGAAAAAAAAACATACATTTACTTGTAAACTGACAGCAACATTGACTCACAAGTGTAGATAGAAATCTATGTGGTTTGAAAAATTGTCTTTCTTCACTGCAGGCCTCCCTGTTTAAGTAGTTCCACTCCTAAGTAACCTCTCCTTCCACAGTCTGGACCTGTCCACCTCGTCTGAAGGAACTACTGGATGGTATTGGGCATTTGCACAGCTCTTCCTCCCCTGAGATAAGACCGAATTCTACCACAGTACTAAATTAAGTGCTAGAGAGAGGATGGCTACATTGCGCCCTCTCTCCCCCCGTCCCTTTCTGTGCATTCCCTTGCACCCGAAATGTCAAAGTAAATGACGATTGAGAGATCTCGCTCTGTCCCCTCTGCCTGCTTACATCTCTCTCAGAGGAAATAGAAATGACCAAGGTGTAAGATACTGATAACCGAGACACTGTGTTACACATGGAACAGAGCAAAGTTAGTGGTTTAACAGTCTAGATGCAGTTAGAACCTTTGGGATCCGTTCAAATCTAGTCCTTCGGAGCAAACCAAACCCAAAAAATTGTCTAGGGACGAGCATTTTCCCAAAAGTGCTAGCTAATTATATTTAAAACCAGCTCTGAAAGTCATCAAAATAGATTTGAGCGGCAAAGGAAAGGGTCAAGCTCTTGCGAAACTCTTATAAATAGAGGCAAAGGAGAATTGAGCACGAACAACTTCTCTTCAACAAACCTGCTGGGGTTTGTAGGTTAAGATTTCATTGTGCAGAAATTGAATCAGACTCTCCGTCTAGTCTGTGAGAATTTATTATCATGGCGGAATTGACTTGACACTGGCTGACCTGCTTAAATATGGAAGATGTGAATGAGCTGAATTCAACTCTTCAGGCTGACAAAGTGGCCAGTACGCTTGGCGTTCGGAGAGAGACAAGTCTAATCTGCTTTAACTCAGTGGCTGTATGGTTGAATGCAGCTCAAACTGAAGCCAATCAAGTTCTGAATGCATGTAAAATCCTTCTCTTATGCAGAATGACCTGAATCCACAAAGAAGATTCTAACCATCCACAATGCAGATAGCTGTGACCAAATGTGCTTATTCAGACCAGATGACCTACCATTAACTTTATAACGGTTTTCTTTTCTTTTATTTAATTCGTTGCATGTGTTGACAGTTTTGCCAGGCATCATTTACAAATGTTCTGCATTTAATGTGTTTACGATCTAGAGAGATTGCAGAGAGATGTCAGGCTATGTTTACTTTCCTTCTGTATTGAATTCAGATTCAAATTAGATTATATGTGAAATACAGAGAGGGACAGGTTGGAAATATTAATTGTTTTCTTTCTCTCCACTGTCTGGGTCCTGCTGTGTTACACATCACTTCTTTATGAGTGATGAGAGTTGCCTTTCTTCTTTGTGTGATAAAAATCTGACAGAAGGGCAAACATAAGCAGAGAAAAGAGAGAAAAAAACCCCAACTCAGAATGATTTAAAGAGACCATTCCCAAAGGATCCCTTCTGACTGGACTGAAGTCTTTTACCAAGGTCTCTGTTAACTGGAGCCCGACCTTACAGTTTGTGTGGCACATTTCAGTGTGAACTATTTTGTGAACTTGTCACAATGTGATGCTGGCTTTGCAAAAAGGCAGTTTTTTCTTAAAAGATGGAGAAGTGAACTATATTTCAGCATGTAAGGAAGAACTGTCAGTTATTTCACTTGTGAAGAGGTTAGTCAGTCGTAAAAGGTCATTTTGGCTCAATTTAGTTGGTAATTCACAGAATTCTTAAAGGTGCAGTAGCAAATTCAAAGGGAGAATGGAAAATAATCATCTAAGACTTGATCATAAGAGGCAAAAAAAATATGTGTTGTGCTGGTAAGTTCATATATTACGTGTTGAAAACCTCACCTTCACGACATTCCAAACTCATATGACTTTCTTCTTTTCAACATAAAAGGATAAATTTAACAAAAATTTCCAAACTTCTATTTTCCAAGAAATCTAATTTGGCCTTGGCAATCAATGTTGCCTTGGCAACCAACTAAAAGACTATATATATAGATAAGAACATATATTTGATAACAAATAAAAATGACCAAAATAACAAAACAAACTAAAATTAAAAACTTTATTTCTAAATTTTAAATATTTGGTAACACTTTACAACAAGGTTCCTTTTGTTAACATTGAACTAACAATGAACAATAATTCTGAAGCATTTATTAATCTTAGTGTCAATTTCAACATTTACTAATACATTATTAGAATACAAAGTTGCATCTATTAATGTTATTTAATGGTCCTGAGCTGACATGAACTAACAGTTGTAGTTTTATCAATTTATTAACCAATTAATAAATACTGTAACTAATATATTGCTCTGTGTTAGTTAATTTTGGTTAATGCATTAACTAACATTAACTAATGGGACCTTATTGTAAAGTGTAACCAAAATATTAATAAATACTACATAAATAGTATATAAATGATACTAAAATAACACTGCATGGGTTTGGACAGAATATAAAGGTAAGTAAATGATGACAGTGTTTTCACTTTTGGGTGTACTGTTCCTTTTACACACAACATTATTCTGTGCCCTGTTTCCTTATTTTAGAGTTGAAGACAGATTGACTTAAGATCCTCTGTAGACACACTGTTGATGTGTCGCACAGTCTTCAACACTGTCAATCAATCTGTGGCAGGAGGACTGTGCTATTTGTCAGCCCCAAACAAACAGTGAGGAATGCTCACCACGCTTGTGTAACACTGACACAAATAAAAACATTTCTCTCTTCACTCTTCAATCTTCTTTCTCACACCCCACCGGCGGTCTATCGCTTCAGCCCTCCTCAAAAATGAAACCTGTCACACTGATACATTCCTTTATCCCCTTCAACTCGCTTCCATGTCCGTACAGCAAAAGACCCCTCAAGTCATCCTCCAGCGATCTGCCTATAGTGGCTAAATGATAAACATCCAAATGCGCGAGTGTTTTCCTCTTTGTAACAGTAATTGAACAGTTTGTAGAACATCAGAAAGGAAGGGATGTAAACACAGTGTGGCAGTGTGTTGGCACTCCCAACAGATCCAGTGCTATGTCACATACTCCCCCATGCTGGGACGCTGTCAGTAAATATTAAAAAGCCACTACATCAACCGAGGGTGGCCCCCTGTCACCAGATTAGCATAATCAGTGCAGTTAAAATGGCCGCCCTACTCCGAGCAGGATAATGACGCTGATTGAGCGTGCCCTCACACAGGCTGTGATATATGGCAAAGTCACCGGATCCTGCACCGTCGCCGTGTGATTTGTGGAGCAGGGACTTGCAGGGGATGAGGGAAGCCTCTCTGGGATTGAGCGGCGTGCCAATCATCCTGGACACTGATTGGATGGAACGCAGACTGGCCCTGTGGTGTAGGCTCAGGTTATGTGAAATGTTTGTTTTTGTCTACGCTGATTGCCAGTTTGATTTCGGTATGAGCGGTCAGCCAATCAGAGGGGTGTATAACTCAAATCCCTGGGAAAGCCTAAGGAAGGGTCATCAAAAGAGATGAGATCATTATCATGGAGAGGATTGATACAGTTTAAGTACGGAAAACCTGATTATTGTGTTTATTCCTGTGTCAATTAAGACTTTAATGAAATTTGAAAGTTCACAGCTGATTTTTCCACTTACCGAATGCTTTAAGCATGCAAAATCATTTCAGACACTAAATACATGACCAACAGAATATGATGTCATACTCTATGGCTTTTGCTCTGTAATAAATGATAAATAATAAATACAATGCAGTTCAAAAGTTTAGGGTGAGAATTATTTTATTTTTTTTAAGAATTCTGAAAGAAATTAATACTTTTATTCAGCCAGGATGCACTGTTCTTTTGAACTTTATTTTCATCAAAGAATCCTGGAGAAAAAAAAGTATCATGGCTTCAACAAGCAGAACAACTGTTTTCAAACTTGATAATAGTGATAAATGTTTCTTGAGCAGCCAATCAGCATATTAAGAATGACTTCTAAAGGATCATGTGACCCTGAAGACTGACGTAAAGGCTGCTGAAAATTCAGTTTTGCCATCACAGGAATACATTTTAAAATACTAATTAAAATAGAAAACAGTTAATTTACATTGTAATAACATTTCAGAATATTACTGTTTTTTACTTTATTTTTCAGATTAAAAAATGCAGCCTTGGTGAACATAGGAGACTTCTTATGAAAAAACAACAACAACTTTTGAACGGTAGTGTATATAAAAAAAATGTAACATTTAAATTTGATTTAGATTAGGTTATTACTCATTCTATTAATGACTAGATATTTATTCATTCTAATTTGCTTGACACAGCAACATTGGCTCAACCAATGGTATGAATTTGAGGAAGGGCATCTGTTCATCACATGATATATGGAAGGAGTATTCTAAAAAACCTGTGTGAAAATGTCTGGTAGTGCAGAAATGACATACTTCACTTTTAAAGAGGAATTCGGAGAGAAAGCTATACACAACGAAAAAGCAACTGGACAGAAAAAGTTGAGCAGAGCTGCACTTTATGCAACAAAGAAGCACAACTATGTAGCAACTGCAAGCTGGAGTGCAGATAGTGATCCACTCCCTGATACAATTAGTATGACCTCAAGAAGTAATGAAAAGGAAACAAGAAAACTATGTTATATTTGATTTTCTAACCAGTACTGGCAGAAGTTCCACTTCACAGCACACCGACCTTCTCAGGCCCATTTAGATGCAGCATATAACAGAAGAAACTCTCGTATTATTCTGAAGCAGCAGGGGGGTGTTAAGATCTGATTACAGCATTACACGCAGGGCCTCTTATTGGAAAATAGGTCAAATGGTGAGAGAATAATTTACTGTTTGCTTTTCTTGTATTTGCAGCAAGATTAGGCAACATCATGAGACTTGTCTCAAAACAGATGATAATTTGGAGAAAATATTAGTCAGAATGACTCTGCAGACAGAGAGATAGAAAGAAATGGATCACTAAACACAGATGGACTCAGATGGATCACTAAACTATTAGTGTGTAAAGTAAAATAATAATTATTAAATAAAACATAAATTTTATTTTTATGTTCATTTTTCATAGCAACATCAACCAAATTGCACATTCGCATTAATCACCATTACATTTAATAAGTTATCTAGCATAAAAAATTGCTTAAATATTATTCTCAACCCAAAGCACAAGAACAACTGTGAGTAATGGTGTGGTGCTATTATATTAGCTAGCTAAGGCTGATATTGGATATTTTGATCTTCAACCCTAAAATAATTTGAATGCAACAACACTGTCACAAAATATGTAATGGATTATTCATATTTTTCCAGTAGGATAATGTGATTTTCAGTAAATGTGACACAAAGAGTCTCACTAAGAGAATTTACTCCTACTACTACTCAGATAGACAGATGAATAGATAGAACAATAGATGGAGAGAACGACAGATGGCTAGATAAAATGACTAATAGATAGATTGATTAATAAATAATAGAGATGGATGGATGGATGGAAAGATAGAACAACAGATGATGGATAGAATGATGGATGGATGATTGATAGATTTAATGATAGATCAATTGACAGATAAACAGAACAATAGATATCTGGATGGATGAATAGACAGAAAGACACAGAGAAATATAAATTTCTTAAAGGACCTCCTTATGAATTTTAGAGGACATCCCAGAGCTCATCTCAGGAGAGCTGTATCAACATCTGAGTGTGATATGAAATAGAATATACACTGTTATCTTAGAGGCATAATTACCCTCTGTGAGCAGCTCGCAACAGGAGTGACCCGGTCCATATGGAAAACACAAACTCATCTTCGACACTTTATTGACTCTGTTGTGGAGGGGTTGCATCCCTTTCCATAAAGGAAGGTGTTTGCTTGAGTGCAATATCTTCAGCTGAAAACACCTGCCCAGCAACAGCACACTCGCCAGTCAGTGATATGTCTCCAGCTTATTATAGAGCAGTGAGATATTGTGGTATTTATAGTTGATGGAGCTTCCTTCTTAGTTATTTCTTTCTCTATCTCAATCTCTCTCTTTTTTTAAACAGGACCAACCAGTGAGACTGTTGAGGTTGATGTTGTTCACTCTTTCCTCATAATCTTGAGGATTTAATATAATCCTCAACTCATCACCGCCGACAGCTGAGTGGCTGTATGCATAAAATACTGTCTCTGCCCTGATTCTGCTTTTACTGGTTCCATCAAAATCTTTTCAGAGCTGTTTTCCGAGCTGTGAGTTAACTAGGCAGAAAATAGGAAAGACCAAACAAACAAAGCACAGTGTGCCGCCAATCAAACCGCATGATCAAACAGGATCCGTATAAGTCTGCATCTTTGCGAGAAATGCAGGGATTTGGTGTCCCAGAAAATCGTAATGAAGTAGCGAGGTTGTCAAGAGACTACACTCAACAGCTGCCGCTTTTGTTGTGATTCAACAAATCTGAGAAGCATATGAATATTCAATTACATCATTCTTAATACAAGACACAATTAAGTGGAGTTAAATTTGCATGATGTGCTGAAATGGTTGAGAAAACAAGCAGTTATCAGTATAAAATCACGTAGTGGAACCAAATTAAAGCAGAGACAGGTATTTCAGGAACAACATTACCATATAATAATTATGAAACCTCACCAAATATGGCACAGTTTTAAGGAATAATATGATAAGCCAAAATGTAAGAGTTGTAATCTATTTTAACTTACATTAGATGTATATTAGTAACAAAAGTAGATATTTGTTTAGTTTATGACTAAGTGTAATCAGGCTAAGTTTGTGGACTGAATAAATTATGCCACACAAAATCCAGCATTTCATGACAAAGCAGTTACTTTTTAAAATATTTCTCACACAAAGACAAAAGCCATTAGCATTTTGTTAGCAAAAATGTAAAGTTCTAAACCTAAAACTGAGTTTGTACACTACATATTTTTCAATAAATACTGTCACACAACATGTCCACAAAATACTACGTCTACAAAATTTGTCCCAAAAGAGGAAGGATAAAACTTAAATGTTACAAGTTAATCAGTGAAAACCATTCAAAAATAGGGTTTAACAATGCCTGTGGGCCCAATGGAATTATAGCAAGATCAAACATAAAATAATCAAATGCAAAGAAAAGAATCTGATTAAAATTAAAATACAATATGCTGAACATCAAAAATGAACAAAACATCAATGAAGCTTAGACTTGATTTACAACATGATCATTTTACTTTGTTTTACTATAGTGCATTTATTATTCTTCTAGAACAAGTTCAAAGATAAATTATAAGCCATAAGAAATGAGATCACATATAAGAGAATAGAAGCAAACAATATAAAGATAGCAACACTGAAGAGCAGAAATAAAGGAACTAATCAAAGCCCACACATACAGCAAAGAATGAAAAATTAGATAAGAAAACTTTATATATATATTATATTTGAGGGCTCCAATGAATGCGAATGCCCATTAGGTTATATACTGTATCTGCCTTACATACTGTTGGAAAAGAGGTAAGACAACTAAAATCTGTGTTCATCATGTAAATTGTGAATCAGGACTTGGTTAAACCACACAGGAAAACACACAATGAGGTCAAAAGTACAATAATAGAGCATGGCAAAATGGAACAATGGGGAAGACAAATGTTCTTATGTTATTGCATCAATACACCCGTCACCTCTCAAACGACACTCTGTTGAAGACTCGCTAGATGCTTTTATTGTCACACCTGCCTAAGTGTCACTTATTGAGCTAAAGAACTACTTGACAAAGTAATATGCCATACTGTTCCTCTCCTCCATGTAGGACATGTAATGTTAAGCCATCAGAATGACAACAGAACAGAACAGAATGTCTATTTAACCCCATATGTTACCCCCGTGTGGCGCTGAATAACTGAAGAGTCTCACCACCTTAAATAGACTTTGAAGCTGTAAATGGATGCTTGGCTTGCAAGTTGCGTGTGCGGTTTTGGGCCAGTGTTCGGGACAAATGGTCAATCCATCAGGCTAATAGAGAGAGAGGAGAGTGAAGGAGAGCGGTTTGCAGGTCTCTGACGGCTCTCCGGAACGCTGATACACAGCAGTGTGTGACGCACGAGGCCACATTCATCCATCTTCCCTCCACACGGGATGAGAAAAAAAGGAGCAGTCTACATAATTTTCTGTCATGAGGTTTCAGAGTACCAGTATGCAGGCACTAAATTAAAGTGATGTATACAGTAACAAAACCGAAACCACAAGTTAACCCATACAGTACATAATCAAGTGACAGAAGTCCTACAGCTGAAACTATAATGTAATCTAAGGCCACTACATCATTAATATCAGCAATCAACATCAT